ATTTTTTAGTTAAGTTTCGATCGGAATCTATGTCTTGGGTGATTTTAGACCTTGAAGAATATGAACTTAGGTAATATTTAAGAGTAACGGTGAGTTGGGTTGAGCCGTGCTAGTGCGCTTTAGTTGATGTTACTTAGTTCCTATTTTTTTTAGTATTTTTAAATTAGTTGTGACGTGTGGTTTTTATACTTGGTTCAGGGCATTAGTTGGACTTTTACACTCTATTCGAGGATTATATTATTTCGATTTCAGATGAGTAGTTTCATGCTACATATTTTTATAAATGTTCCCCTACCCTGAACTATTGGAAAATTAAATTGTTGTTTTAAGACTAAACTGTTTTGATAAATTATTATATTATTAATGGAATCAAATTATTTCTAAAACATGTGTGAACTTGGCATACTGTAAACTATTTGTTTTGGTCTCATGTTTATAATGATGAACCACCATGTTTTGTGAAACTGATGTGTATTGATTATTGGGACCATGTGTGTATTTAGTCCATTGAAATTATTCCACTGTGTGTGGTGACTCTGGCCACTAGGGAAGAGATCCGGGTTGGGCCGTGATGACTCTAGTGCTCAGCGATTGTAAGGAAAAGACCTTTAAAAACAACTAGGTGACCTTCAATCGGATCGTCTTCGAGAAAAGGCCCAGGTGCCATCCTGAGGATGTCTCTTAGTTCGGTATTGGATCCAACGGGGCTTATAGCCTTGAGAACTGTGTGGCAGATTATTTGTTTTTATTGGTACCCAGAAAATTATTGGTGTTCATGTTATAATCTGTTTTAAGTGGAAAATGTCGTTTATCATGTTCTTGCGAGACTTGAGTATTTTAAGTTTTGAACTATAGAACCTTCTTTTTGAAACAGATTGTATTTACCAAACTGTATGCCAATCTAGTTTCTGTGATATATATCTTATTTTGGAATTGAACCCTGTTTTCAAAACTGTATTTACTATCCATGTTGCTACTCACTGAGCTATCAGCTGACTTAGTTGTTTACCATTTCCAGGTGTTAGAAGGACTTAGAGTGGACTCATGGCGTAGCGGGGACTCAATTGCATGGACCTCTAGGGCATTCCTTTAGTTTAGAGTGTTATGTCAAGTTTGTGCATATTTATATTTATTCTTATCGAAGTTCATTTAGGATTATTTTTGATATGTGGGTTGTTTATATCCCATAAGTTTGGATGGTTTTTTATTACGGTTGATTTTGCCGTTTATAATTGTGACATGTCTGGATTGATTATTGGACTATTGTTCAGTTGTTCAATGTGATTGGATTTGTGTTTAGGCTTACGTGTGCCTTGGGCTAAGTCCCTGTGGGCCACGGCCGGTCATGCCCAGATTTGGAGTGTGACATCCTGTGTTAGAGTGGAAGCAGTTTGGTAGTTAGTTCGATGTTCTGTGATCAAAGTAAGTGCGAACAGAGGCAATCGGTGGCAAAGCGATGGATTTTCTTAAGGAAGCCAACCGAGCATACATATCCCCCTCGCCCGCGAGGCCACTTTATTGCTTTGTTAGCTAGTTGTAGCTAATCATTACATGTGTTGTAATTCATTTGTTTAATCTGTTTGTAATATTTTAATTAGCCTAGCATAGCTAGTTATTAAATTGTGTTGTAATAATTAATTAGCTAGAATAGTTAATTAGTTCGTTTTGTAATAATTAGCTTAGCTTAGTTTAGCTTAGCTTAGCTTATTCATTCGGACCCTCATTTGAGAGGGCACAATGTTGTAATAAGCGTGCATATGTGTGTGCATGTCTTCCAACCCCACGTCTTTCTCCCTTTTATTTATCCACTTTGGATGGTTAGATTAGGGACATTTTCAATTAGCATACCTTATGCTTATATGTTTGCATCATTTATTTGTCTTCTATGCACCGAGGCTCGGCACATCATTCAAACTACATTGTATTTCAATACTTATTTGAATACACATTATCAAATTGTTGCATTCATATGCCATCTTAGATAGCTGGGCCTATTAGTTGCATATTGCACGTGTTGCATTAGGCATCTTGTATAGTTAAGATCACGCATATTTCTAACTAGCTTTTGTTTTGGCTTGGAGTACACTGTAAGTTTTACGCTTTAGCATGCTTGCATGAGTGTGAGTGATGCCATGATCGCATGCTTGCCATGAGGCTATTTGCTTAAGTGATTAACTGCATGAATGCCTATGGATGGAGGCTTTATTGCTTGAATTGGAACAATTCGAAGAGTGTGAGTTTTAAGCCCACTTTGCGAAGTGGCAAATCATCATGTTTGAAGCCCACTTGAGAGTGGCAAATCCACATTTTAACCCACTTGAGGGTGGCACTTTCAAACCATTTTCGAAAACAAACATGAGCTAATTTGTTACAATTCTTGTGATTTAGTCTATACTTGCTTGTGTGCGTCACATAGTAAAGTTAGTCTAATAACCGGAATAAGAACACATGAGGTTTATAAAACAACATATCATGCTTAGTAGA